TCGACAGAGATGAACTGGCACAGCTGAAAAACAACATCCATGATATCGGCTCTAGGCTGATGCACCACGCATGACTCGCTATTGGTCCTGCCACGGGCACGCTACCGCTACAACTTATGCACAAGAATGCACAGGCACACGCATGGGCAACAAAGCTGATGCTCGCACTGCAACACACAACCTGCAACTAGCAAACGCTCAAGCACTGGTCCCGTGCTCTCCACAGCTGCACATAGTTTCCCATCGTCCCATGATCTTGTTGAAGGTCATATGCTTCGTCACTGTCTCTTGCAAAGGATTGGGAAGCTTGGTGGATGCAATCTCATTCTGAACCCACAAACACAGCGGTGGCAGAACAGCATGTAGGTTCTTGTTCTCTAGGGCCTGCAACACCTGAGCCATGTCGCTGCTGGAAACTGAACCTGTGCTGGCCGCTGGCAGCACCAGGGCTTCCGACAGGCGCTGCACCATCTGATCATCTGTACTGCATCCACTGCTGGTGATCAGGGTGCGTGACGCGGTCATTGCCTCACCAACAGCTATAACAGCAACATGCAATCTGGAAACATTCATGACTCCATGACAATAATATCATGCCAGCTGCTACCACAAATACATCATGCTCCACTGCTGGCACTATGTACATAGGAAACTCATCAATTCAATCACGCATCATGGATTGCACATGTATGGATCATGTCAGTACCCCACATGGTGACAGCCCCAACACCAGCACAGTGCGAGCACAACGAAAAGCATGAAGTAGTCAACTGAAAACTCAACAACATTCAACACTGAACACACATGCCTGCTCGCAAAGATGAAGAGCATGTCCCTGCAATGCAGGTCGCATAGAGCTCCACTTCTTGTGAACTTTCTTCAAGATGTAGCTGCCTGAGTAACAGAAATACAGCCCATGCCTGACGCATTCGCGAAGAACATGAATTTCCGACTCAGTGTACACCAACTGCTCCTCTTGCTGAACCGGCATGCCATCCGTCTCACCAAATCTGACACGTGCCGTGCGGATGGCACTGCGGATTGCCATCACAAGACAGTCCACAAAATATTTGTCTCTTGTCAGCGTCGTTCCCTGTGATCCGTGCACTGACACTTCGCGATCGGTCTTCCCGTGGTCGTATGTAATCTCTTCGAAACCCTTGGAGCCACCTTTTGCCTTGGCCTTACCTTTAGCCTTGGCTTTGGGCGCGGAAGCTTTCTTCGTCTTGCCAGACTCCTCAGCGGCCAGCACCTTGAGCGGATCTTGCTGGGTCTTCCTTTGCTCCTTCTGTTGTTTGAGCTTGGTTTGAAGCTCGAAAACCTTTCCGTTCACATGTGTCATGAGGAGTGCCATCTCCGCACTAGCACTCGCAGGCTTCTTGAAGAGCCATCTGCGGCCGTCGATGTTGAGAGGAATCTGGGCATCAGGCATAACGTGACAAGATCGTGACATGAAGCAGTGAAACAGCAAGATGTCAAGTACTCAGTGCAGGCCATGCAAACAATGCAAACACACGATACTGTCACCATGACTTGATCAACAATGCTTACACAAGTTCGTCAAGAAGCGCTTGCGCAACACAGCTCCATGATGACAGCCGACTGTTCTTGCCCACTCATAGCACCGGCGCACACATTGAACGCAGTGATGATCTCTTTCATTGTAAAAATGACAGAGTCATGGGCCAGCTCGCTCTCCAGAAAATTACAATGTTTCTGAGCACAGGCCTTGAAGTCGTTGAGGCACGAGTACCGGCTCAGCGCATTGTAGACAAACCGCGTCGCCTCAAAGTGTCGGTAGCTGTTCCAGGTCTCCGGCCATTG